GATTGCTCTTCCCCCACAGCAAACACTGCATCATTACCGCTAGAACGGTTTCTGGGACAGATCTCAGCACAATCCGTTTCAAAGAGCTCTTTCACCAACAAGGATTGCTTGTGGCAATCATTTAAGATCAAAATTTGCATTGACAGCCCAGATCTACTGAACTTTGACCAAAGTTCTTGACACCAAATTTGAAATTCTACAGCGGACCATCCGAAGACCAACAGCAGACGTTACACATCAAACAGGGGGTAGAAAACATTCAAATTCGCAGCGCGTCTACGATCTCGGAGACATTCTCGTACTTATTGGGCGACGCATATAATGCGTATACACCCCCAAGCCATTTTCCAAATGAAAGCATTAATCTCTGTTTTCCCTGTCGCTTCTTCCGATTGTTTCTGGAAGGGATGTTGAAACTTGTATCGGGTACGAGCTGTATAGGCTGTACGTATCCTTACTAATCTGTGTAATTGCACATTTACACACACGTTTGTGCAAATGAGCAGCTTTGAGTACCTTCTGTGTTTTTTAGAAACCGGCGGGATGCGTATTAGGTGCAGAGTACAAATTTATGCCAATAGGTCTTTTTGTGACACGGAAAGTGAAAGCTTTTTGAGTCCACAAAAGGCGGTGAACTTCGCTATACAAAGGAGACACAAAAAAATCTTTGCTGTCGGGCAGCCTCACGATATGCTCCACTGCCTTCATCATTTGCACCTGCGCGTGGTGTATGACCAAACTACATATATATCCGGTTTTCCTGGGACCCCGCAGTACCAGGAGGCCAACATCCGTGCGCTTGGAACACCACTTTATATAGATATTTTCTTTCGGTGGGGCTGGGCCCCAGCCCAGTGATCCTCGGGGAAAATAGAACGTAATTTTAATACGGGAGGCTGCACTCCACAAAATGGGACTTGACGCTTCACCGCAATACTTTTGGCGACCAAGACGACACAGTAACCAGACCATTTGTACCTTTTCTTCGAAAGAGAAGAGCTCTCAGGGCGCAGTTGCCTTGCATTTCCAAGAAATAATCATCTGCAAGTCTTGTATACCAAGTATAGATACAGGATTCTACTTTCTTGTGATGAGGACAGATGAAGATTCTGTTAGGTCTTCTCTCCGGCTGAAACTTGCTGACCTCGACGGCGTGAAGAGAGGCTACCTTCGGGCCCCTTCGGTAAGCGATTTTAATTTATTTTAAATTTGACGTGGTTTGAACGTCTTGACCCATGGACTAACCTCGATGGCTTGAGATACTATCATATCGGATCTGCAGATGCCAGAATTCAAGGCTGGTGAGCCTTTTTCTTTTCTCAGTCATAAAGCGACAGCGCGTGTGGCGAGGACATGAAGGTGCAATATCTTTGGTGCTTGATATAAGCTTGACCGAATTGCTGAGCAACGATGTTGCTGTGCGTGACTTGATCAAACTCAGACGGCAAAATTGTTTGTAAGCCGCAGTCTACGATGATGCTGATAGTACCGAACGTATACTGCAATTTCCATACTTAAAGCGTGCTAATGGAAAACGTGGAATGTAAGACAGTATGTTGAAGCTCCTCAGAAATATCGCTGATGAGACCTTTGATTACAGCTGAATCGTGGAGTCTTTCGTGCTGTAGCCGATGAAACGAGTATGAGCGACTGTGTATCACGGTCACTTGTGCTAGGGCTAGGGAAAATGGGCTACTGTAAGATGCAAGTTTGGGTATCAAAACTCTTAATAGTGACAACTAATGTTGCTGCTAAGTGAGAACGCGAATTGACGAGTTTTTCATTCGGAGTAGTAAAGCTCAACGAGTTAGTGGCAGTAAGGTCATTTGATTGTTAATGGAGTGGCTGAGAAGACTATTAGCTTCTTTTCATTACCAGCGACAAAAACGTGATTATCTCGATAAGTTCTTCTAAGGAAGCCTTTGCAAAGAGTTGCGAGATAAGTAAATTAATAATATGGTCTGTCGGTGCCTCAGGGGGTTATGATCTTATCATCTGTCATCCGTGAGATCATTTTAAAGAAAGTAATGTCGAGAAGTGGAGTGGCTATCTACAAGAATCCTACAAATCGTCTTATTATTTCATAAGGAAATATCCTGACATGGTAACAAGAGGCTCGTCAAACATATAGCTGGGATCGAAGAATGTGAATTGACTTTTTTCCTAATGCGCCAATGACGTTCACTAAGGGAACAATGTAAGATCATGGACTTTTTCTTCCGTGCGAAGCTCGAAGGCACTGACATTCTGTTGCAAGTAGATGACGGTAAGTGGCGAGTTATAATGAGCTAAATGCAGCCACTATTATGAGGCAAACCTCATTTTTCTACATATCGTGGCACAGAATAACATTGTCAGTCGCACTTTGTTCCGTGCCCATGACGTGACCGATGATTAGTATTATCCGCATTTAAGAGTCAGTGAAGTCGTCCCTCATAATGCAAAAGGTGCTTCAAGCGAAAGTGGCTAGTGAAGTCGCAGGGACTTCCTAACAAACCTGCGCCGCAGATACAAAAGCTACACTGTGTCAATGAATACTATTTTATTTTTTGCTGATATTGTCATCTGTTGTCGTACAGAGCACGCGTTCTCGAGCCTGTAAATCCACATTCAATATTTGCGAGATCACCGAGATTGTACTGCTAGATCTAAAACTTCCTAAGGCCATTGTAAGTCATAAATGTGTCCATCGCGTAAAGCAATAAGTACCAGAGGTGATCAGTTATATTTCAATTTAATCAGGCTTCTTTCTCCGTTGTAGTAAGGATCAGACATTAAGGAGAGCCACCACAAGACCTGTCTCCAGAATATAAAGTTTGCTATCTGATTGTAAGTCAAAATGTGCCCTTAATTTTTTTAAGCACTACGTACCAGGTGATAAGTAATATTTAGATTTAATCGGGTTTTTCTCCATCGTAGAGGGAATTAGACAATGTGGAGAAAGGGGAACCACCAGAGGTTCTCTTCAGATTGTCGAGTTTGTTATCCGATTGTTTCAATCCGTGTGACAAAATATGCTCTTTTCCACCTAAAAGTCGCAAGGAATTTGGTCATTACAAGTAATTATATATCTCGGCGCTGAGTATTTGTGCCAGAAGCTGAATACAAGCCGGTAAGGTGAGTCTTTAAAAGTAACATACTTGTAAATGAAATAACTCTTACAGCAGTAACTAGGTGCCAAAAGAGAGACATGGTATGCTCCTGATGCTATCCAAAGCACCAGCATTAATCAATTTCTTAGTGACGCAGTTGTTTTGGCTCCCCCGTACATATGAACGAACGGAACATGTCAATGTATTCGTCCAGAAAGTGTACAGACCACGGAATATCGATGTAGATATCATTACCGAAAGCTTGCGAGCTGCATTTTAACAAATTCCCATAAATTATCAATCTTACTATACAGGCAACTTTTTCTTTGGCACTGATGTACAAATGGTCTTTGAGCAGATCACTCAAAGATCCAGCCACAGTAGATTGACTGCTGCCACCATTTGGAAGGATCTATGAAAGTAATTGGACCCGTCGAGCTATTCAATGTGAAAATTGTCTACATGATATGTGCGCTCATACATCTCCTTTTATTTAGTTCATGGTGACGAGTCCAAGAAAAGATACGGTCCTCCAACTTGTAGAGTCTTCATTCTGTCCTTTCCAATTGCAGAAAGGCCCTTCTTTATCGTCTGTAGGTCTTTCGCCTCGGCAAAAAAGTTTACTGCACGTCAATTTGGTGCCCGTGGGCATGAACGCGTTATTGCGTTTCGGTGTCGCCAGCTTACAGCTAAAACTTACTATTATTATCCGAAAAGTAATCTCACGATTAAAAAGCTACTTGTTATGAAGTGTGATCGTATCAATTTCGGGTACACCATTCCGGCTCGAAGTTATTGAAGAACTATTCGAGTTGTGTAAGGGTAAAGTACAAACCTGATCGGCAAAGTGTACGCATTCATGTCGTCCTAACCTCAGATCACACTGGCGACGTAGCATAGACGACGGCATATAAATCAGACGCAACTCTTTTGCGTTATCGAAGGAGTGCGTTTACGCCGTCTGCCCTTGTTCCGTCCATCATTGCCTGTGGCACGAAACGCTTTCTCGCTTGCTTCCTTCTTCTGTAGCA